CTGTCCTTGCCTCCCCCTGAGGCTGAGAGAGTGTGACTTGCCCGAGGTTATTGTGGTTGCTGTGTGCCTTCAAGTCGTTTTATGGCGACCCTAAGGCTTTGCTTGGCAAGTGTCTTCAAAAGAGGTTTGGCATTGTCGCCCTCTGAGGCTGAGAGAGTGTGACTAGCCCTAGGTCATCCAGTGGGTTTCATGGCCAAGGGGGGAATCGAATCCTAGTCTTCAGAGTCCTAATCCAACACTCAGACTACTTCTCTAGGCAGGGATTTTATTTTATTTTACTTTATTTTTATCACCCCCTCCTTGCCAAAGGCACACTCTGTCTGGAAGGTGGGGAAGACATCCCCAGGACATTGGTCCAAAACACACACTGCAGAAATAATCCAGTTTGAGACCGCTTTAACTGCCCTGGCTCAATTCTGGGAACTGTAGTTTGGTGAGACGTTGAGCCTATTCTGTCAGAGAGCTCTGGTGCCAGAACAAACTACAGTTCCCTGGATTCCCTAGCACTGAGATAAGGCAGCTAAAGCGGTCTCAATCTGGTTTGTTTCTGCAGTGTGTTTTGGACCATTGGTTTCATGATAGTTCCAGACCAGAGGGATGTTCTTGGAGTGTACGCACAGAAAGGAGAATAGAGTTACAGCGGACTAAAAATTGGCCAGACATGCAACTATTCCCAGATTTCATGGCTCTTCCAGCCTTTCATCCCCTGCCCTATAACTCCCATCATCCCCAAGCAGCATGGCCAACTGGTTGGGGATGATGGGGAACTGTAGCCTAGTCCATCTGACAGTGACTGCACACAAGTGTTTTTGTTTCACATTTATTTATTAGCTTGATTGTTTAAATTCCCTATGCTACCCAGGCATATGAAACATATTTTTTTTAAAAAAATTGTTAGATCAGCATACAGATTTTCTTTTTTAAAAAATTGTGAAAATCTGTCGATTGCAATTTCTACCATGATCTTAGAAGAAGAAGGGGAAGCAGGAGAAGAGAGGAAAGAAGAAGAGGAAGAGGAGGAGGAGGAGGAAGAGGACCACGAAGAGGAGGAGGAGGAAAAGAAGGAAGAAGAGGAAGGAGAAGAGGAGGAGAAGGAAGAGGAAAAAGATGAAGAAGAAGAGGAGGAGGAGCAAGAGGAAGAAGATTATAAAGAAGAAGAGAAGGAGGAAAAGAAGGAAGAAGAGGAAGAAGAACAACAGGAGGAAGAGGAAGATGATGAAGAAGAAGAGGAGGAGGAGGAAAAGAAGGAAGAAGATGAAGAAGAAATAATAAAGTTATTTATGTAGTTAACACATTCTCCCATAATCTTTTTTTTAAAGGATAAATCATATCATTGGAGGTTTTAGATGTGCAGTTAACAAATCTAGATAAATTCTTCAAAAATGAAGGACCGTTTCCTCCCATCTGAATTGGCCAAATTGAACAGGTGAGTCTATTCGCAGCACGAAGTGGATGGTGTTATACCTTCTAGCCAGCCATGCTAATGTGAAAAATAAGGAACCTCTCAGAAGAAGAAGTGGAAGCTCTAATGGAGAACTATAGACATGGCTAAAAATCGGCCAGACCTGCAGCTATTCGCAGATTTCATGACTCTTCCAGTAGTGCACCAACACTACACAATGATAACAGTTTAATACTTTCTGTTTTCACTGTCATAGCTCCATTCTGTGTAATCCTGGGATTTGTACTGGAGGTGGGCACTTAGAATTCTCTAGTGCAATTCCCCTAAAATAAGCCAGCATAGTATGGTGGTTTGAGCACTGGACCATGATTCTGGAGACAAAGGTTCAAATCTCTGCTCAGCCATGGTTTCCATCTTATAGCTACTCTAAGGGGGAATTTTTTTAAAAAAAAATTAAGACTTGGGGGATCCTTTCCCACACATAATGCCCTAATGGTTGTTCACGACTGCATCTACAAGCAGAAACTCCAACCTTGGCCTATGTTAACACACACCACATTTGCTACAATTTAGCCACATAATGGTAGAAGTGAGCCAAATTAAGTTGTGGTACAGGGAGCAAAGAATCGACGGAGTCCAATCAGTTTCAAATTATGCAGGGTTTTGCTATCTTTGTGGGGAAAATCATGCCTAAATATATGTTTCAGCAAGACAAGTGATTAGCAATGGCACATCCAATACCCAGAAACAAATTCGCCAATGCTAAAACAGAGAGAGAGGTAAAGAGAGATTTTCACTCTTTAACTCTGGTCTGGGCCATTTCTCTTTTCTCCTTGCCCTCTCTCTCCCTTCCCATGGCTCCTCTTATCTCTTAGGCTGCATACGCATTGCAGAAATAATCCAGTTTGACCCCACTTTAACTGCTGTGACTCCATGCTATGGAACCCTAGGAATTGTAATTTGTTGTGGCACCAGAGCTTTCTTACACGGCAGGCTAAATATGTCACAAAACTACAATTCCCAGATTTCCATAGTATTGAGTGAGCCATGGCAGTTAAAGTGGGTCAGACTGGATTATTTCTGCCGTGCAGATGCAGCCTTAGAGAAATCAAAGTGAAGTATCATAAAAACTCCCTTGCTTCCCCTCCAACTATGGATCAGTCAGGTTTGCAACCATCCTTCCAGGCTGAATTAGTAGCCAAATGCTGGATGATACTCTGAGGAAGGAACTAAATAGTCCCATTTGCCCCTATGGTTTTCTTGCTGTGAGGACCATGATGGGGAGATGACTTCCGCTAGTGGAAGCTACCTTAGATATCTTTAAAATAACTCAAGATATACAAAGCTGCTAACCGCCATGTCAGATTATTCTGATCATCTGTTCATTAATAGCTTCCCAGACTCTTGGGCAGAAAATACTTTTTGGAG